ATATAACTAACCATTTCTATAACAACAAATCTATCTAACTGGCAAAACCAAAGTTAAAGTTTCTTTTTTTTTTTTCATCACAAGCACAAAATCCAGAAGTGATATCCAAATAAAAAACCTAAATATATTCTCTCTTTGAATAGAACAATCAATTTAATCATTACTGCTTTATCTTCCTTGCTGTTAAAATAATATATATTCTTATTTGCACTTGATAATCTTTATAAAATATCACCATTTATATTAACAAAATTCACTGTATTCTTTCAGATTGTTTAACTTTAAATGGAAAAATATTTTTTCATCTTATTTTAAAGCACCAAGCTTTTCTTTAAAACCATTTCTAAAATTAAGATTAAATTAATACTAACATTCTAATGCATCTTTTTTTTAAAAAAAACTTATTTTTAGCATACATACTTTAAAGTTCACTTTCAGACCAATAAAATTCCAACTAACTCCAATTAACTCATTAAAATTAGATTACTCCATCCAAGTTATCCTCATATATTTTTTTCTTTTTTAAAAGCTCTAGATTTTTCTTTAGACTAATACATCTTTTTCTTTAATTTTCTCAACATATTTTTAAATACACTTTCAATAATATTTTGCAAACTTCCTTAGGCAACCTCGTGGCCCTCGGGGATGACCATATTGATGCCAAACTTAGTGCAGACACCTGATCAGCATAGTCCACTGCAGCCCAGAACTCTTGAGCTCAAGCGATCTGCCAGCCTCAGCCTCCGGAGTAGCTGGATTACAGGTTTACACCACCACGCCCAGCTTTGCTCAATATTGGAAAAATGAAGAAATACCATCTGAAGAAGATATAATCAAGAAAATCATGGACTGTGCAGAATGGATAGGCTCACATTGAAAATGAAAGGGAAACAAGATTCAGAATACTTTCAAACATGGGAAAAAATTTATAAATGGCTAGAAAAATGGAATAAAGAGTAGGAATGGAAACTGTATTACTATTAATATTAAACATGTGAACCCAGACAATGTGTTGCTTACTAAAAACTAAAGATGGTTACTGTAAAAAAAAATCAATAATAAATATTATATATAAAGGAAAAGATACTTTTTCAAACTTTAGATTAAAACTTTCTTTTGATTACAAATATGAAACCAATGAAAATCCATTCTAATTCCAATGGACTCATTAGGTTTAAGTCACTTCTTCCAGTTTGTTTTCATGGAATAAAATATTTTTCTTCTCTGGAATGTTTTTTTAAGTAGTTATGAGTTTTTCTTTTTCTCAAGGATTTCCCAACTTTGTTAATATCCATGAGAAAAAAGTCCCAAACTTGTCCTTTTAAAAATTGCAAATTTTCTTGAAGCTCTTCTTTCAATTGTGTTGGAAGGCTTCTTTTTAAACCATCATAATAAAAATTGATTTCAGGTTTATATTCCAAAATTACAGTTGACTCCTCTCCATAGAGATACAGTTCAGTAGTGAGAAAAGTAAAGTCATGCACTTAGATAGGAAGAACCAAAAGCATAGGTATAGAATAAGTAGTACCTGGATCAATGTAACTTTGAGAGATCTAGATGTCCTAGATCCCCCACTTAAGTCTGAGCCAGCGAAGTGCTGCAGCTGACAAAAAAAAAAAAGCCAATGCCATCTTAAGCTACATCAACAAAGGTATAGTGTCAAGACAACAAGAAGTAATGTACTACTTTACATTATGCTATTGAGGCCACACTTGGAATTCTGCATCGAATTCTGGTCACCATGATATTAAAAAAAATCTATTCAGTTCCTGGAAACTGTGCAAAGCCCAACAGAGGTGATAAGAAGTCTGGAGGCTAAATCCAATGGTGGGATTCAAATACCGTATATGCCGGCGTATTAGGCGACCCGGTGTATAAGACGACCCCAATCTTTGTCGCTGAGCCGCATTCCTAGAACGTCGTCTTATATGCTGGAAACTACCAGTATTTCCGGCGTATAAGAGACTTGGCGTATAAGACGACCCCTGTCTTTGGCGCCGAGTTTAGCGCTTCCGGAAGTCGTCTTATACGCCAGCATATACGGTATGTGAATAACAAAGTTCTCTGTGTGGATGCCACTTCTGTTTCAGATGTTATTCCCAAATCCATGATAAATTCACTTAGGGATATCAGACACATCTCTTACCTGGGTTGTGTTGTTCAACTCTTTATCTTTGCTTCTTTGAAGGTGCTGATTTCTCCCTCCTGACTATCATGGCATATGATCAGCATGATGTCATTTGCCATCCACTGCACTAAGAAATGGTGATGAATTGGAAAGCCTATATCAAAATAGTGATTGTAGTGGGGGTTTAAGGTCTTCCTTGTGAAATTTTGCAAACTGCTGGCATCTTTTACACTGTTTTGAAGGTGCTGATTTCTCCCTCCTCATTGTCATGGCATATGATCAACATATTGCTATTTGTTATCCACTGCACTATGGGATGGTGATGACTTGGAAAGCTGCACCAAAATAATGATTCTAGTGGGGGTTAATGGTCTACTCTATGGAATTTTGCATACCACTGGCAGCTTTTCCATCCTATTTTGTTCTAATGTTGTCAACCAGTTTTTCTGTGAAATTCCACAATTGCTGAAGTTATTCTGCTTTGGTTTCAGTCTAGTTGAAGTTGGAATCCTTGTGGCTGGTGTCATTGTAGGGTTTAGCTGCTTTGTTTTTATCATTGTCTTATATACTATGATCTTTAAGGCAGTGTTGAGAATCCCTTCTGTGAAAGGAAAGCAGAAGACCTTTTCCAGTTGTTTTCCCCACCTTATAGACTTTTTATGTGTCAGATAACAGTGTGTTTGGCATATTTGTGATCTCCCTCTGACACCCCATCTTAATTAGATGTAGCATTAATTGGATTATAATTTTTTATTCCCACCCCTATTCAATACAATCATCTATAGCATAAGAAATAAGAATATCAAATCTGTGCTATCTAAATTGGGGAGATTCTAACATTTTATTTTGAATATTTGTTTCTATTTTTTTTCCTTACATCAAATGCTCTGGGTTTTTTCCCCTCATTTTTTGATGCTGAGGTAGAAATAGAGTTTGCCATTCTGGACCAATGGTAGTACTTGACAAGGTGTCATCAATAATCCCCAAACTCTAATTACTGCCCTGTTTTTCAGGGTGCTATGTGCTGCTTTAGCAGCATCCTGAATTCCACATGCTGAAAACTGCCATCTAAGAAAAGGAGACTCAACTGCCCAATTTCCCCTTGCCAAACTTCCAGTATATCCACAAGAGCTGCACATATGGATTCCTGACTTTTCTTTCTCCTTTCACCCAATGCTGGCAGGGAAACAAACAAACAAACATCAACCTACTTAACAAATGAGGCAGCATGGATGAAGGACTCTGATGCTGCCTGCTACAAAATTTCATATCCTTTTTACATTGTATGGTAATGAAATGTCACTGTTTCATATAGGAATCCCATTATTGGAAACAGTGAACAGCATCCTTGAGGCTCAAGAACAAGACACAGAAATGATAGCACAGTCACCTGAACAAGAGGAGAATAGAATTTGAGCCAGTAGCCCATTTACTAATGGTAACACTGTGCCACCTAAAGGCTTGTACTGCCAAACAGAGCAGATGAGATACTAATTCTTTTCACAAGACAACACATTGAAGGGGTCATAGACACATGCACAAACATGCATGCTCCCACACACACGTGTGTGCATACACAAACACACACACACACATACACACACACGGTAGAAAAATGATTTAATATCTTTATAAAATTCCTCAAAAGAGATCACATTTATTGAATATAGACGATCTTCTGTATTAAATGGGGTGCAGAAGTGGACATCAAATGCCATAAACATGGATTTATCATTAAAGGATATTTCCAAAAGGTCAAAACTGGCAATGAAATTTTTCCATGTGTCATAAACAGACAAATTTAAAAACATTTTATAATGGTTCAGGTAATCCTTGCTTTAATAAATACTTTATAATGATACAGGCATTTACCAACTGCCTCACTAAGCAACAGTTACAAAGGTTAGGGAAAAAATGGCTTTGCATTTATGAATGTGGCAGCATCCAAGAGTCACATGATTGACATTCATGTGTTTAACTACTGGCTCCCTCCAAGCAGCATTAAGGAAGGATGAAGAAACGGAATTTTAAGTAGTAATCATATGATATCTTATTTAATAACCCCAGTGATTCATTTAATGACAGAAGTGGAAATAAAGTGGTAAGTCTGGCATGGTCATGTGATGTCACAAGGACGGGGGCACTTACTTGTCAATCCCAGTTGTGATCAATAGGCAAAGACCACCTGATGTGCAATTGAAAATGAACTCATAGTCAATATTCAGTGGGACTTTTTTTGCCAGTCTGGAGCAAACATGAATTACAGTTATTGATAGACTTAACTTTGTCTTATTTTAGAGTTCATGAATATTTGCCAGGTTCCCTTGTCTGCAGTATATGTCATTAGTTTTAATAAAATATTGTGCTTATCAGAAGGAACGATATCCTAAAATGAATTTCAAGAACCAACAATGTTTAATATATATTAGACCTCATGAATGAAGATGAATATACAAGTCCCAGGATAATATTGCAGGATCCAATCTGGATCATTGGGACCAGAGGTTTAGTCTTTCAAGCTTTTGGACTCATGCTGGAACCCATCCTCAGAAGTCTGAAAACCTGGAAGACTAAACCTCTGGTCCTGGTGACTGACCCAGACTGAATCCTGCCTCCTAAGCGATGTTTAGAAAATAAAAATAATGGGAGATGGGGGATACTGTAGGTGATTCCCTGGAGAATCCCATGTGTTGAGACTAGTAACTGCTAATCGCTAATTATATTAAACATCCAGACACTCATTATAATATTTTGTTATTTTTTGTATAGTCTAGAAGGAAGCAAAATAATTGCAAATATAAAGTCAACATATTATTGAGCTTCCCAAATATAAATTCAGTTACCCACTGATACATCTTTTTCATAGCTGGACAATTTCTATAGCATTTCTGCATTACTGAATAATAAATCTGTGAAGAAAAATAGTAAGTGATGATTACTATACATTGATTGTTCTGCCAAAAGGCAATTTCCTGCTTTCTAGAATGAATTGGCATTTCTTTACATATCAATGAGTCTGTATTAGACTCACTTTTATACTTCTGACTCTGGGGAAAGGATTGAAAAACAAATAAAATCATAACCTAGTACTATTTTGCTATAATAGAGAAACTTTTTAGGGTTGGGAGATTTATCCTAAAATATAGATTTAAAGTATTATGAAGAAAATAATGAAAATCTACTGTAGCAGAAGGGGTGGCCCATAACCTTCCTAAATAATGAAACAAGATAGTGATTAACATAACAGTATATCTTCTGCATGCAGATACTGGATATTAAAAAAGGAGTACTTTACAATTTGCACAAATTTAAAAACCCTGGTTGAACTGAGTACTAACTGCTGAATTAGCATCTATAATATCATTTCTAGATTCATCTGGGATAATGTTTGTTTTTCATTCTAGTTAAAAATTTGATTCATGTTGTTCAAATTCATTACTATGGTAGAATGTGTTCATTCTATATTAGAGCAAAAACAATGGAAGAGACAAATCTCTTGTTACTCTTTGTTATTTTTTAGTGGGAACATTCAAATATGAGTTTTTAAAAACTTAGCTAGTCAATAAAGTGTACATCCAGGCCAACATTTATCAGTCAATGGAATAATCTATTTTAATACACCATTATGATGGCATATTACTTTATTATGCTAAAATTGTATAAGTAATAAACTGTGAGAAAAATAGAAATGATAATTAAGAATATTTTTAAAAGCATGTATGTACCCAGAATTACAAAGTTTGAAGGCTCGCATTAGAAGGTTTCACTATCAGTTGGAAAGGAAGGAAGATAGTGGGTCCCTATCAGTAACTACTTTGTTAGTGGTCTTTTGCTGGGTTTCCTTAATGCATTTCTTGGAATCTCAAACCATGGTTCTCTTGAAGCTGAAGACTAAGACCAATCTGAAAGGTTTGATTGATTTTGAATCCAGCTGATCAGTTGATGCCACTGTGCTCTTCCAGGCAATGATACCCAACTCAACTTGTTTGTTTCAAGGAGTCAGGAAAGCTGTACATGTAAAGTCCAGGAAAGCAACATGGCTCATGTTACATAAAGCCCAACCATCTCCTTGGGCTATCCCACAAGTCCAAATCCTGGGAGGGGCATAGCTGGCCTTTGTCAGCATCAAGGCCACACTGGTGGAGGTCTTTCAGTCTAGGAGGCAAAGAATCTCGCTTCAGAGGCTCAGTGAGGTTTCTCTCAGAGGCAAGTGAGGAAGAAGCTTAGGGCTGGCTATCCCTGTTTGCATATCTTCTGAATGACTTGAAGTAAGAGGAAAGGAGGAAAGAGAAGCAGAGCACAACACAAGAAGTCTCATAGAAAAGTAAATGAGGTTTGATCCTTGTTCTGACTAACAAAAAGTATGACTGGGAAGAATACATAATTGTGACATCTTTACCAATTACTGTTATTATTTTGTTACATCTGTTGCCATTGGACCAACAAAACACAGCAATTAGGAATTCAAATAAGAAAAATTAAGGGGAGTGTTTGCCTGATCTTACTTTGAAACTATTGGATCCCTTTTAATACTATTAATTTTCTTTCCTTTGGTTATTACAATTATAGTACAAAAGTAAAGGCAATCTATACTGGGCACTATCTAAGAAAATGAAATTCAATGGTGAAAAAATCAAGGTTCTACATTTAGGCAAGAAAAACCAAATGTACAGGTATAGTACAGGGGGTACCTTGCTCAGTAACTGTGATAGGGACCTGGGAGTCCTAGTGGACAATCACTTAAATATGAGCCAGCAGTGTGTTGCAGCTGCCAAAAAAGCCAACACAGTGCTGGGCTGCATTAACAGAGGGATAGAATCAAGATCACATGAAGTATTAATACCATTTTACAATGCCTTAGTAAGGCCACACTTGGAATACTGCATCCAGTTTTGGTCACGATGATGTAAAAAAGATGTTGAGACTCTAGAAAGAGTACAGAGAAGAGCAACAAAGATGATTAGGGGACTGGAGGCTAAAATATATAAGGAACGGTTGCTGGAATTGGGTATGTCTAGTTTAACGAAGAGAAGGACGAGGGGGGGACATGATAGCTGTGTTCCAATATCTCAGGGGTTGCCACAAAGAATAAGGAGTCAAGCTATTTTCCAAAGTGCCTGAAGGCAAGATAAGAAGCAACAGGTGGAAACTAATCAAGGAGAAAAGCAACCTAGAACTAAGGAGAAACTTCCTGACAGTTAGAACAATTAACCAGTGGAACAACCTGCCTTCAGAAGCAGTGAATGCTCCAACACTGGAAGTTTTTAAGAAGAGACTGGACAGCCATTTGTCTGAAATGGTATAGGGTTTCCTGCCTGAGCAAGGGGTTGGACTAGATGACCTCCAAGGTCCCTTCCAACTTTATTATTATTATTATTATTATTATTATTATTATTATTATTATTATTATTATTATTATTATTCAGAGTGGGATGTCTTCTGGAACTAGAAATGCTAGCAGACTTCTTCTAAAACACTTGTGTCAAACTCGCTGCATCACGTGACTTGTCGCAACATATCACGACTTTTTTTGCATTGCCATAGCTGGGGTGGGCATAGCCTCCATATGATGCAACCAGCCCATGGGCCGGTCGTTTAACACCCTTGTTCTAAAGCATAAGGCTTAACTTCTGGATGAAAAAAAGAATGAATTCCTCCCTTTTTTAAACAAAAAATAAATTGTCTTGACCATAAATTAAGCAAATTTTGAGCCAAGATACAATGTAAATAACATAATGATGTAATGAGTGTCTTAAGTAAAGTTCTCATATTTCTTATATAAATACTCCACCACCATTTATTTAAGCATTATAATCTTATTTTTCAAAAAATCTCCCAAAACAGGTATCAAAAAAAAAAATCTCCATCTCTTTGTGCTTGTGTGTGTGTTAAACATACTCAGAGATTAGGCAACAGTCTCTGGTCCCACGCACTACATCTATATGTTCATGGAATTATATACCCTGTCTTTTCTCTAAGAGATCAAGGCATTATATATTATATTTATTTAATTATTGCTATCCTTTCTTTATTATTTTTAAGTAACTCAAAACTGAAAACATACCTAATACTCTGTCTTCCTCCTATTTCTCCCACAACAACAACCCTGTGCGGTGGGCTGGGCTGAGCCCGACGCAAAGTCACTCAGGCAGTTTTTCATGCCTAAGGTGGGAGAAGAACTCACTCTCTCCTCATTTCCAGGGCAAAACTTAACTGGCACTCCTTTTTTTTTTTACCAACAACTTGTTGTTGTTGTTAATTGCAAAGTCGTGTCCGACCCATCGCGACCCCATGGACAACGTTCCTCCAGGTCTTCCTGTCCTCTACCATCTTCTGGAGTTCATTTAAATTCACAGCTACTGCTTCAGTGACTCCATCCAGCCATCTCATTCTCTGTCGTCCCCTTCTTCTATTGCCCTCAATCTTTCCCAGCATTAGGCCCTTCTCCAGTGAGTCCTTCCTTCTCATTAGGTGGCCAAAGTACTTGAGTTTCAACTTCAGGATCTGGCCTTCTAAAGAGCAGTCGGGGTTGATCTCTTAGTCTTATAAAAATGTAATAAAAATGACCAATGTAAAGTCTCCCAAGTTTTTTCCATAGTTTAAATTGGAAAATCTTGGCAGACACTTCCAAATTCTAACAAACATTTTAACCATAAAAACAATGTAAAGAACTGGAATGGAAGAAGGTTAAAAAAAAAAAAAAGAAGAGAGATTTTAGTTGGTAATTTCATCAATGATTAATTGAAATAAATGGTGAGTGCACTGACTGGACATTGGCATTCTTTTAACATGGTAGTGTTTGTTTAATTGTTGTCACATTACTTTTAAAGTTTTTCTTTCTGTTCCCAGTACGTATCAAGCTGTAATTTCATTGTTTTAATTTAATGGTGTTTTCACCTCTGATTCCTTACTGATGTGGCATTCATCTCAGTCCTAAGTATGGAGAATCAGACAATTGTTTCTTATTTTCTGCTCATGGAATTTTCCAAAGATCGTCATCTGCAGCTTCTACATTTCTTCTTATTCTTCATAGTATACCTGGCAACTGCAGCAACAAATCTTTTCATCATATCTGCGGTAGCTTTTGACCATCGACTACACAGACCCATGTACTTCTTCCTGGTGAATTTGGCTGTGCAGGACCTGGGCATTGTTTCAGTCATTGTCCCCAAATCCATGATAAATTCCCTCATGGACACCACACACATATCTTACTTTGGTTGCTTTGCACAAGTCTTGATTTTTGTCTCTTTTGAAGCTTCAGATTTATCTCTCTTGACAGTAATGGCATATGATCGGTATGTTGCCATTTGCCATCCACTGCACTATGGAATGGTGATGAATTGGAAAGCCTGCACCAAAATTGTGATTCTGGTGTGGGTCACAAGTGTCCTCTATGCAATGTTGCATACCAGTGGCACTTTTTCCACTTCTTTCTGTTCTAATGTTGTCAATCAGTTTTTCTGTGAAATACCACAATTGCTAAAGTTATCATGTTCTGGATTCAGTTTAATTGAAGCTGGAGTTATATTTGTGAGTATCACTGCAACATTAGGTTGTTTTATTTTTATTTTTGTCTCTTATACACTGATTTTCAAGACAGTGTTGAAAATCCCATCTGTGAAAACAAGGCAGAAGAGTTTTTCAACTTGTCTTCCCCATCTTATAGTCTTTTCCATGTTTTTGGTACCTGCATGCTTAGCATATCTGAAACCTTCTTCTAATACTTCCATTTATTTAGATTTTGCATTAACTGCCCTATATTCTTTACTTCCACCACTGTTCAATCCAATCATCTACAGTATAAGAAATAAGAAAATCAAGTCTGTGCTGTCAAAATTGTGCAGATTCTAACACTTTATTTTGAAGATATTTTAAAAATATTTTTCCTTATATCAAATGTTCTGTGTCTATTTCCCTTATTTTTGTTGAGGCTAAGGTAGAAGTAGGGTTTGCTCTTCTAGATCAACATAGTACTTGAGAGGATGTCAGCCAATGATTCCAAAACTCTAATTACTGCCCTGATTGTCAGAATGCTGTGCATTATTTTAGCAACATCCTGAATTCCACATGTTGAAAACTGCCATTCTAGGCTTTAGTATCAGGATCAGATTATAATGATGAACTGATGCCCTCAAAATCTTTCTATCATTCTCTTTAGAGATTTCAGTTTCAGATCCTGGTTTCTATTCAATACAGGCAGTCTTTCATTAGGGAAAAAACAAACTAGAGATTATCTTTATTGAAATCACCATCCAAATATTTTTCCAATGCATTCATTGCAAAATTTGGTACTGGAGCTGACTTTGTATATCACACTAAGCCACAGTTCAATCACTTATTGAGTAAGCCAAAATTTCCTTACATCCCAGAAAATAATAAGGCATAAATCATGATTTAAAAACTATATTAACTAGCTTTACACAATGTATAAACCAAAGCCAAGGAAACAATATGATTTAGGAAATTGTTTCAATAAACCCATAATCTCTTTAAACCTTACGGACCATCTTTTTAATAATATTCAACTTTTAAAAGAAATTCTTTTAGCAGGCTACTTGGTTATTTTGCTAATGTACAATTTTTTTCATGAATTCACATTGTTTCAAAGGGCAAAATCTTTTCCAAAGAGCAAAAATTCAGATTATTGCCATCTTTATTGGGAAATACATACTTAGTTGGCATATTGCATTCCACACGTGGCTTATGCCAGTTTGTGATCGACAGACTTTGAGAGGAAATGAACTCTGGATACTGTGGAGTATGTGTAAAGACAGACTTTTTTAATAGTGGGTTATTACAGATAGTCCTTGACTTACAACAGATTGTCTAGTGATGATTAAAAGTTACAATTGCACTGAAAAAGTGACTTATGACTGTTTTTCACGCTTATGACCATTGCAGCAAATCCATAGTTATGTAATCAAAATTCAGGTACTTGGCACACATTTATGACTGTTGCAGTGTCATCTGATCACCTTTTGCAACCATCTGAGAAGCAAAGTCAATGGGGAAGACAGATTCACTTAAGAACCGTGTTACTAACTTAACAACTGAAGTGATTCACTTAACAACTGTGGCAAGAAAGGTCATAAAATGAGGCTACAATTCACTTAACAACTGTCTCACTTAGCAGCAGAGATTTTGGGTTCAGTTGGGCTTAATTGTGAAGATTGCTTGTGTTCTATTTTTTAGATGAACATTATTTCCAAAATCTATAGCTCTATATTTCTTAATAAAATAACCTTAACATAGAAGGAGGCTTCAGTGCTAAACATCATCTTTGTAAACAAATGCCATATTATTTGTTTATAGTTAGTTTTATTTTAATGATTTTTTTAATAGCTTTCTTTGGCTTTTAAAGAAAGCTATGTTTTCTATTCCAAAAAGTAAGTTTGGAATTTTTTTTGCTCACATCATGAATGATACTGAATTTCTCCTCATTCATTTTTTTGTTTTGTTTTTTAAGAGAAAAGTTGAAGAAAGAATATTGTTCATCATAAGCAGAAATCAATTGTGCCTCATCCTAAGATGGTGAAGGAAATTTGTCTGCAACACAAATGCAGTTCCAAATTTATGGAAAACACAGATTCCCATGTTAGAAGAGTTCAAGTGAAACTTAGGAATTTGTTGAGCATTTATTGATCTGTTATTTCACCTATAGCAGTGGTTCTCAACCTTCCTAATGCCGTGACCCTTTAATACAGTTCCTCATGTTGTGGTGACCCCCAACCATAAAATTATTTTCATTGCTACTTCATAACTGTAATTTTGCTACTGTTATGAATCGTAATGTAAATATCTGATATGCAGGATGTATTTTCTTTGTTACAAATTGAACATAATTAAAGCATTATATATAATTATATATTGTGAAATATTTATTTCTAATTACAAATAAATGAAATTTTGTCTTGAAGCATGATGTAGCATGGATAACAGTCTTAATATAACAACAGTAAACTACATTGTTACATTTTGCGACAGTATGTGTAAAAAGCCAACGTCAGTGCGAAGGTTGAGATTGATTCTTTCTCACCAGATCAGAAATTCTCGGGGCAGTCTTTGCAAGAGCACAACTAAAATGGCATGAATGAGAAGTATACAAATCCGTATACTAAGTCAGAATATCAGCAAATAGCCCAAGCCTGCAAAGATGAAGTGAGGAAAGCTAAGGCTCAAAATGAACTAAGGCTTGCGACCAAAGTCAAAAATAACAAAAAAGCTTCTTTCAACATGTAAAAAACAAGAAAAAAGTGAAGGAAATAATTGGTCCATTAGTGCAGGGCTTTTCAACCTTTTCACCGATTGTACCACTTTTAGAATATGGCAACATTCGAGTACCAAAAGTCACCTAGTGAGGTGTCAAAAACATGATGACCCAAAAAAAAAATGGAAAAAAGTGATAAAGTACAGGGAGTCCTTGACTTACAACAGTTTGCTTAGTGACTGTTCAAAGTTACAACAGCACTAAAAAGGTGACTTATGGCCATTTTTTACACTTATGACCGTTGCAGCATCCCCAGGGTCATGTGATTTACATTTAGATGCTTGGCAACTGATTCATATTTATGATGGTCACATTGTTCCAGGATCACGTGAGTCCCTTTTGCAATCTTCTGACAAGCAACGTTAATGGGGGAAACCAGATTCACTTAACAACCATGTTACTAATTTAATCTCTCTCTTCCTCTCTCTCTCCCTCTCTGCCCCCTATTTCTCTCTCCCTCCCTCTCTCTTTCTTTCTCTCTCCCTCTCTCTCCCTTTCTTTCTCTCTCTCTCCCCCTTTCTCTCTCTCCCTCCCTCTCCCTTTCTTTCTCTCTCCCTCTTTCTCTCTCTCCCTCTCTCTATTTTTCTTTCTCTCCCTCTCTCTATTTCTCTCTCCCTCTCTTTCTCTCAAAGATCCTTAAAATCCTTAAAAGTTGTGCTTGGTTGGAAGACTTTTTCTTTTACAGATGGGGTGGGTTGGCAGACAAGTACTTAAAAAAAAGAAAAAAAATGTGAATAGGCATCTAGTAGCTAGCTTGAAGTTTGAACAACTTCTTTCTCTTGCCACCGGCTTCTAGGAGGAGCAAAAGACATCCAGCACTGCAATCAGGCACCCTAGACTGGCCATTCCAGGGCTTCCTGCACCGGCTGACTTAGTTGTCTGCAACCTCCTGTTGTCACTTGAGGGTGGGAAAGGACATGGGCAGGAGAGCTTCCTTCTTTCTCATCTGAGGAAGGAAGTTATGTTGGACCATTGACTCTGTGTCGAGCCCCATGGGCCCAACATTCATGGGCAGGCAGGAACCCACCTGCCGAGCCGCCACCTCCCCATCAACCTCCATGCCAGCCGGCTCCGTCGCCAGACCTCCCAGCTGACAAGCGCACATTCGGGGGTCACTGCGGCGGCCCCCCAGCCACCCACTTCTTTGCCTGGAGCAATTGCCAGGGCTTGCATGGTTGCTGGCAGCGGGGAGCGTGTCAGCGGCCATTGGGGACCACGCCAGCAGTTCTGTGCCATAGAGGCTTGAGGCGTGGGATGTGGAGCAGTGTGGTGCCATGGGAGGTGGCTGGACAGGGGGAAGGGGTACCTGCATCCTGCTGGCCAAACTCTGGAAGCCTGCCTGAATGAAGAATTTTAGGAGGAGTTGAAAGCGAGACAGGTTCCTAAGACCATCGTAAATATGTGTTTTCCAATGGTCTTAGGCGATCCCTGTGAAAGGGTTGTTCGACCCCCAAAGGAGTCACGATCCACAGGTTGAGAACCGCTGCCCAAAGGGGTCATGACCCACAGGTTGAGAACCGCTGCCCAAAGGGGTCGTGACCCACAGGTTGAGAACCGCTGATTTATACAAAGGGGTTCTGGTGTATCTTGATGGCATTCTGATATACAGCATGAATATGACTGATCATGTAAATGTATTAAAGAAACTATTGAGTGCCAAGCTTTACATCAAACTGTCAAAATATGAGTTTCATCTGACCCAATTATATTATCTTGGCTATAGAATTTCCAATGAGGGCATTGAAATGGACCTGACCAAAGTGAAAGCTGTAATTGAATGACGGCCCCCAAAGACTCGCAAACAGCTCCAGAGCTTCTTAGGTTTCGCCAACTTCTACCGCCCCTTTGCCAAGATTGCCCTACCCCTTACAGAACTACTCAAAACAGGGAAAGGAGGAGGGAAGTCATGGCTAGGCCAACCACTAGCATGGGCTATGAACTATCAAATCACTTTTGAGAATTTAAAGCACCCCTGCCCAGGGGAGCCCTTTGTAATTCAAGATGACGCCAGTGATATGGCTGTTGGAGCTGTATTACTGCAAACGAAATAAAAGTGGGACCTGACAGCCCTACACTTCAAAAAAATTTTACTGAGAGTGAGAGGAGGTGGGTTGTGTGGGAAATGGAGGCTTTTGCGATCTGCTGGTCTCCATTAAACTGGAGGCGCTATCTAGAAGGGAGCAAGGTGCCTTTTGAAGTATGGACTGATCACAAAAATCTAGAAGCACTGAAAATTCCCTGCAAATTGTCCCTGAAACAACTGTGATGGGCACAGTACCTTAACTGTTTTAACTTCACTCTAAAGCAGGGCTTTTCAATTGGTGGTACAAGTACCACTTGTGGTACATTAACAAGTGGCAGGTGGTACGCAGCCCTGCCTAGCCAAGTGTAGTGGGAGAGGAAAAGAGCCAGCACAGAATGGAGCTGCAGAATGGCTAGGGCAGGCAAAGGCCCCAGGCTCACTTCTGGCTCACCCTCCCCCATGGGAAAGGAGGAGGGGGGGCGGAGACAGGAGAGGCTATAAAAGGAGGCAGTTTGGTGGGGGAGAGAGAGAGAGAAAAAAAGAAGCAGCCTTGGAAGGAGGGGGAGTCAGCTCCAGCTGCACTGAAGGGAAAGATGGAGGGTGGGGGGAGAAGAGATCTAGCAGGCTGGCCATGAGCTGATCTACAACTTCTGTGGCAGCCACCCATTCTGGCAGCAACAAACAGGCAAGAAATGCAGCAGGGGAGGGGTTGCCCTCCATGAGGAATGAAGAAAGGTAGCATCTGCTGGAGGTGAGACATGGAGGGAGGGAGATGGAAAGTGGAAGGATTCTTATGTGCTTTTGAGACTTTGAAGTTCTGGGATTTGTGCAGTGAGGGTTTTGTGTTCTTAAGGAGTGTTTGACAATTTCTATTTGGCTGATGGCTGATGTCTCTTGTTAGCTTCTATTGCACTGCTATTGTTAGCTGTAAGTTTTGTTGCAAGGGATTTTAAAGTATTTTTCTCCTGAATGGATTTTGCCTGTAGCATTCCTTTACTTATGAATGAGCCATTTGGAGAGGCTGCCTTAGCCAGCAGTCAGTACTTACTACATTTTTTTTCTTCCTTAAGTGCCAGCTGTGCTCCTTAACTTTCTAGCCAGTAGCTAATTCTTAAAGGGGAATGTGCCCTTTTAAGCTAGTTCCCTTAGTGGCTTGTCTTTTCTGTCTCTGGAGGCTTTTCCTTGTTTGATGAATATATGGAAGAGGGAAAATATGGGAGGGTGTTCAAATTCTTCCTTCAGAAGGAGATGGGCATGAGAAAGAGGGAGGCAGGGAAGGAGGGACTTAGCACTTGGCCACCAGCAGCCCTGCCACTGACTTTGCTTATCAAAAGGTTGCAAAAGGGGATCACATGACCTTGGGACACTGTGACCATCATAAATATGAATCAGTTGCCAAGCATCCAAATATAAATCACATGACCCTGGACATGCTGCAATGGTCATAAGTGTGAAAAATGGTCATAAGTCATTTCAGTGCAATTGCAACTTTGAACAGGTTTTTTTTTTTTTTTTTGGTCATCAAGTTTTTGACACTTGCTAGGTGGTACTCGAATATTGCCATATCCTAAA